AGCAATCGGTTGTTCGAAGTTTCTCAAATTCGTTTTTCTCCAGAAGGAAATCGTATCATCATCCGGTATCGGTTCGGCAGGGAAAACAAAGTTATAACAGTGTCCCTCTCTATGGTATCGACTCTTTGTCTTGCTCTGTTTCGACGGCAAGGAAGCTCGTTCGTGCGACAGAATAAAAGACGAGGCTGAATTTCAAATTACTCCTTCCTGTCGCGCGAGTCCTCTGAAGGATACGCGTGTGTGCTCGGTGTGTAAAGGAACCCGAGAGCGAAATCTCGAGTTTCGATAGAACGTTTCGCTGGTTAAAACAAACACAGTCGAACCCCTGCGAGGTATTTATCTTACGCAACAGATTGTCGGTGAATACTATTTACGTTTGAGCGATCCTGGATGAACGAAATAACTCCTCCTGGATCATAAATTATTTCAGTTTGTTTAGTTATGATTAACGAAATTTCATAAAATTGTGATTTCAATTTGATATTTGAATTTGTATTGATTTTCTTCTAAAGAAATCTTTTATATCTGCCTATCTATCGCGATACAGCCTGTACTATAACGCAGCAAGGAGTTCATTTCTCATTGAAATACCGTCCATATTTTCACCATACCAACGCGTTTTGTACCCATAGCTGACTAAGATTTACAATTGAACCGTACTCGGTCCCGCTAAGAAGCAAATCGTGCGGCACACTTTCTGTGCCTCGAATTGGAAATAATGCGAGAAATGAAATCTCACCTCCCTCCGGCACCATTCACCGAGAGATCGTTTTATCGTCAATTTTAACATTCCTGTCGCTGACAAATCTCCTCACTTTCCTATGGATCACAAACGTGATATCTATCCGCGTATTTCCTTTCAGAATCGAGTGGTTTCTAAGATCGTGCAATTCGTATGAAATCGTCGATCGAAAAATAACATTTCCCGATATTTTCTAATCGATACGCTCGTCGAGTTCTCCTATCAATCGAGCAGGTATTCGCAAAAGTCCTCGATTGTTCCCTGTTCCCAAATGAAATTAAAACCGATCGATCTCGCTGTCAATCAATCCCGATCCACTCATAGATATTTGACGGCTGCCGTGAAAATACGCATCGACGGGCCCTTCTAGAAATTCTGTTACGCGCTTATTATCCGTCGTTGCTCACCATCGAATTTATATATATATATATATAGAATATTTAATTAAATCGTTGCTGACTGATCGAAGCCAGACACGCCGAGCTCGACTTTAACGAACCTGTCAGCGCGTCATCATTTCCCGAAACGACCACTGGATATTTTACCAGGCAAATGTTCGATCGCGTTATTGTTTCGTCGTGTTTTCATAGAAATCACGTTACATAATAATCGTACATTATCCGGTCGAACAGTTTCGTTTCAGGGAAAAGTTTTCCTCGATCGTTTTATACCGACGCATTATCCTTTTACAGTCTTTTTGTTTCCATGCTCATCTATTTCACCCCTCGTTCACCCCTCTGTTAGATACTCAAAGCTACTCCGTTGAAACTTTTACTTCCCCCTTGGACCAATTGAAATTATCATTTCGTCGTTCGTTCTTCGTCGTTACTTTTTTCTTTTCCTTGCACCCCTGTCTCACCTTTTCAACCCCGGTACGTCTGGCAGCCTCCGCGCAAACCGATACGCTCGGGGAAACAGATAAAGCCGTTGAGCTGATTTCGAATTCTTTGCCGCGACAACGAAATCGTATTACATTCATTAAAGGCTACGAAGTCGGGCTAAGGATACAAAACACGAGGAGAGGGATGGCGCAGAGGGTGGTCGGATCGGTGTACAAGAAACGTATCGAGGGACGAAGAGAATGGAACCGTCTGAAGCGAGCCAGAAGAAGAACGGAACCTTCTAACCGCGATACCGTTGCAAGAAGACACGAACTGCAGTTGCAGCTTTCACCCTTTCCCCTTTTGCCTGACCTCCCTTGCTGGCCGACTCTTCGATGCGCTTGCGATCCGTTCCTCTTGGTCCAAATTTCCTGTCTACGTCTACTTAGCGATGGCGTCGAACCAAGAATCTTCTTCAGAGTATCGTGCCATTCGAAATCTTTTCACTTTTTCTTACCTTCTCCTCTGCGTAGGCTGCTCATTTTAAATTGCGCATTTACTGAACTTTAACCTATTCGAAACATGAAGGTTAATATTAGGTACCCTCTGACGTAGACAGGAAGACGTGTTTCAGGGGTTCGCGAAATCGTGTGGGAGGGAAATCTCAATCAGTGTGGGCAGCGAAATTGAATACCTTTTTGTAAGCTCACTTCCCACGTTTTTTGAGAAAATGGCAAAATCATCCGAATCGAAATGTCACGATCTATTCGTTGCAAAGTAATTCTTTGCGGTCGTATCTCTGGAAGAGACTACTGTAATCTGTGTTTAGATATAAAAGGAACTTGAATCTTGCTAGAGTCAAAGATTCCATCGAACGTATCACCCGGCAAAGCGTTAAATACACGTTTATTCGTTACTTTATCGAACGGCGAACGAAAGCAGGAAACATTCCCGATAAGAATCGACAGTTTGCAAGGTATCGATAAGTCGACGCGAGGGTATTGGTCCCATCGCTAGCCGCGTTAGGCTAGAGCTCTTCAGGTATCCAGAGGGTGGTGGAGGGGTGAGATTGGGCGCAGAACCGGCGTCGGTAATGGTGACTACGTTGGCTGGTAGATTCCACGGGGTTAGCACGGTCCTAGAGAGGGGTGGTGGTAGTAGTAGTAGTAGCTACGAGGAAGGGGGTTGGTACGGCGCGGGGGTGCACCGCAAGCTCGAAAGTTGGGAAAAAGCCAAGGAAGGGGTTGTGCTTCGAGCAGAGACCTCGACAAGGGCGCAAGCTCGAGGTCGTCCCTGTATCCTCCCACTCTGTTACGCGATAGGTGGAGCTTCCCTGGCCGCCAATACATGTCCCGGACCCGTGTACGCTACGTGCGTAAAACCCAGTCAGTCCTTCCACGTCCGAAAACGAAAACGCGCGCTCTACGCACCCGGTGCGAGCGAGCTTAGCGCGGGCTCTCCCTGCTCTCTTTGCCGCGCTACGCTGCGCCCAGCGTAGCTAACCGAACAGGTTAGCCATCTCGCGCGCGATCCAATTGTGCTTGATTAGCCGACATTCATTCACGGGATAATTGAGATTTTTATTGAGAATCTAGTCAATACAGAAATTGTTTGCTCGAGGAGAGACACGTCTGTGAAGTTGCTAGAAAATTGGTCGTGATAAGTTAGTCCTGGAATCTATCCTTTTCGATGGGTCATGGTATCTTCTTATTTATGGAATTTATGGTTACTAGTCTAAGGGTTACGTTTAGATTCTCGGAAGTTGGTCGGGATGATAAAATCATCTTGGAACCAGTCTTTGGTGACACGTTGATGGGTCGTGTTATCTTCTTTCTCTTGGGATTTATGGGAACATAATGGGTTATTGGTCCAGGAGACATCAAAGAAGTTGCTTTGAAGTTTCATAAAATTCCCATTTAAAACTTCTCTTTGATGGTACCTAACTTTGTTTGATGAGTCGTATTATCTTCTTTCTCCCGGAATTAGCATTTACATCTTCAGTTACTGATCTAGAGGATATCAATAAAATTATTCTGAAGTTGGTCGTGATGATTCTATGAACCTACATTCGGTACATCTTCGGTGACACGTTATTCTGTTCGATAGGCTATGTCACCTTTCTTTCTCCTGGGATTTGCATGAATTTTGTATGTCATAAAGTGCATCGTTTGCTGCGCCAGCTTGCTTTTTGGATACCGCTATGAATCCGCGAATGGCACAGTTCAGTGGATTTTTATGTTAAAGCGAAGTTGAAGTGAACAGTTGCGAAAGGATGGTGTAAGAAAAAATGCAGGTGCAACTAGATGTTGCAAAATTAAAAAATGGTACCGTTCAGTGGGTTTAAACGGTAATTGAAATGCTTGAAACACGGATTGAAATTTGTGTATCGTGTCGGAAATAATAAATACATGAAATTTCATTCGATCGAACCGATTATCGTGCATCGATTGAAATTGTTCTTCCGATCGACTTGGAAACACCAGTCGATTTTCCTGTGTTTTCGAGCGATAGAAAGAGATTACTCCGACGATACCATTCGACAGAACACAGACAATGATGCGCAGCAACGAGAATCAGTGTCGATGAAAACTAATCCGGTGGTGAAAGCGTGGCAAACGTAGAATAATAAATAGCTGAACCGTGCGATTTCTATTTTAATACACAACAATGAAGAACCATCTATTCCTCTATTCTTTCGAACTAACGAAGCTGAGAAAAAAAAATTATAGCAATAATTACTGCGATTGCAGATCGTGCGGTGCAAAAGATTTCATTGTTAATAGTACACGTTGAAGATGGCGCGTTTAGTTTCACCTAGCACGATCCATTTCTACTTTCCAACGGCTCGTGTTGCGCAAAGGGATGCAATTATCGAAAATATACATGTCAGTGATGCAACTAAACATTGCATGCCTCTTGCATGAGTTGCATTTCAATAGAAGTACCTATCGCTTGCTTCCTGTCCATCGTCAAACATTTTCCTTTGGATCTCGTTGGACAATAAATGAAGCAATTAAAGAGTGTGAATAAACTCTGGACATGATCGCACCGATGGCATTTTAATCGTTCTACGATGCGTTTCTCTGATTTTCTCTACTGCGCCTACGAATACGTATAAAGCTTCTTAGAAAAGTGAAACTTTCCAATTACATGTACTTTCGAAGGTGGTTTAAGCTGAACTCCATCTTTACCGCATGATTATTTTCTTTCTTTTTTAATTAATTTATAATTGTATTATACAGGGTGGTCCATATCTGGATCCATACATTTTTATAGGATCCTCCATTGTCATCCTTGAAATACTTGAAAGTATAACTATGAAATTGATAGATCAGGATTTATGTTTAAGGAAAAACATTTGTAACTATCGAGGAGCGCATTTCGCAAACTGTCGAGGTCATGTAGTCTACATGGCAGTATTTTCAAAGCCGCGAGGCTGTAGGGAAAGGTGTGCCACACAACCGATGGCAAATTTCTGTTCAGTCGACGTTGTCTCGGTCAATAGTCAACACGTTCCTCTCGCCTCTCGTTCAGTTTTCTACAGTTTCTTCCCTCAGCTCGATTGAAAGTGTTAACACAATTCCCATTGGTTAGTTTCTTCTTGTAAACGTTCGAACAGGACGTTTCACTTGGTGATAAATATTGGGTTCCTTCATTCGTTGCACGTGGTATACCAAGGGATTTTAATTTAATTTTATTTTTTACAATTTTTATAGTAACTTCCTGTTTCTATTAAGATTTCAATTTCTCTTCGATCAAACAACTTTGAAAATTCACCGAGAAAATCTTTTGTTTCGAACACGTTTCGCACGATGGTTCCGAGACGAAACGTTCTCAAGGATAATTGATCGTTTCGTAAAATTTAAAGATTTTTCTGACCACGACAGCTCGGAGCACAAGCGAAAAAATAAGAGAGAGCAGGCGAATGAAACGGAGGAGAAAACTGTCGCGAGGTTTCATGGTGTCCCTTTCGAATTCCAGATCAAACGTAAGTGCGCGGTGTGTGGTTGGTGTGTGGATACATACATGTGCCATCCTTTGCGTTGACGAACGGAGGAGAAGAGGACTCGGGCCAACAGAAGCCGGAACCGAAAAATGGATGCGACGCCACTGCGACTCATTTCCGTACTGCTTTTGTTCGCCTACACCACGTCACACTTCAGTAAGTCATTTTGCTTAATAAAACTACTCTGCTTCTGAATGCTTTCATCCATTGTACGAAATTACTCGTTTTGCTGGACCCCGAGTGTGACACGATGAAACACATTTGTCTTTCGTACTTACAATTCTAACACTGAATTATATTGAAAAAAATACGTTTAATTTTATGCAATTTATTTATTTTCTTTTTAATATGCTTAGGTACTGCCTATTTTTGAACACCTTCGCAACCCTTTGCGTATTCGTTCATCTAATTAACATTTCTCTACTTGCAACACTTTGCATTTCCTGTCTCCCTTTTCCACCAGCGAGAAAGTATGTCGATTGAGGTAACGCGTGTTTATATTCAACCGACATTCGATACGAATCATTGAGCGTTGCACGCTCGCGGTTTGATGTCCGACAAAAGTGCATAACACGCGAGGAAGATTTAAAAAATTGCGTTAGATCAACGACGTTCGTCAAGCCTGCGGTGAAATAGTTCGATTAAAACGAATCGTTGTTAATTAGCGGAAATAACGCGGACGTATCGGCGGTGACGGTTATGGTAATATGAAAACTTTGAGCGATTTAGACGGTAAATTGCTAAGGGAAATGAGGACGTGGTTGGTTGGGCCGAGGCAGCAGTGGAAAGACGGCAGCAAATGCGTCGCCGTAATTGCATAATGGCCCTGGTGTGTTCGCGTCGAGATACGAAGCCCTGGCCTGGTTTTTACTTGAGGACTTTCACTCCGCATCACTGGACTTCTCTCTTTCCTCTTTCATACACTGTTTCCCTGTTAGTCTATCTCGATCTCACCTCTCGGCCATTTTTCTGTATCTGTTTCTCTCTTCCTTATTTTATTCCACGCTTCCTTTGTTATTCCCCGTTTCGTCTTTTTTGTCTGTATTTTTCTTTTTGTCTCTACCCTCAGTCTGGTCGTTTAGCTCCGGCAGGCTATTATTTTTATCTTCGACTCCAAAGAGACCAGCGGAGCTTCGCGATTTCGGACGCGAACGCGACAAAGTAGATCTACCCCCCTCGATAGACGGTATCTTTATGCACCGTTGCGCCTTTGTTGCTGATTTCCACCTCGGTTACTTTAATACGAATCTTCATTGACGATTATAATAAAATTAAATCACATCTTCGAGGTAAACCTCGAGGAATGTTTCTCGTGGCGATTTAGGGGTTGAACACCCGGTACAAGGAACTGACGGGGCTGTAACTCGGTATTAGTCGGTTTCAAGTACGGAATATTGTTTCTAGAGATCCAGCCGCTCAAATTGCTAGCATTTAGCAGCTTATCTGGATTATCGTTTCCCCCATGCACAGCCTGGGGGAGAGAACGTTCCCGTGGGGTAAAAACTCGGCACGGACGAATCACGCTTTTCGAAATTCATCGTATTTTCTATGGAGCTATTCTTTTTTTCCAGCGTTGAGAATCGGATTAAACGGTGGAAAGGATTAGACACGTTTTTCTTTCCATTATCGTCTTGGCTACTTTGAAGGAATCATCCCGAAAGAGGGAGTGTATTAATGAATTCAGACTTTTCTGTTTGCTCGAATAGTATGCAACTATAAAAAGAATGCATATCCATTAAAAAGAAAGTATATTTGCATTTCTCCTTCTCTATTGTTTCTAACAATAAGTTTTCTTTACAACTTTATAAAAATTGTTTAAATCTTAAACCAACAATACGTACAGGTGTGCATTTCTTTCCAAGATTGAAAGTACACTGTAATTGTTCTAAGGAAATTCAAAATATATATCCTCCGTATTCATGGAATCTTAATCGTGCATCTTTCAACGATCATTAAATGGTAAAAATCGCTGAAACTTCCCGAGTGGAGATGCGTCCTAAAATTTTTAATTCGACGGAATTGTTAATTGATTGCAACGTTTGCCTTGATTTCTTCATCTACAAATACACGCGGATGAACGTTTAACGTTTGACCTACTTTTGGGATAATTTGAAAGGTTTTTCAACGCGTTCCAGGGTCAATCGCGCGTCCACGAAATTTTACCTTGGAATTAGAACCGATCGGAAATTTATTTGTAAACGAATGTCTATGAATCGTATGTATTTTACATACGTGTCGTTAGTTAATCATTTAGGAAGCACTACGTGCAAAACTTCCGGGACACCTTGTACACTAGTATATGCAGAGATAGGAAAAAAAAGAGAATAGACTTGCACATGTAGCTTCCAATAAAGCTTCGTTCGGTGCTCGATCGGCACTCGACGAATCTCCAATCGGACAATACCCTCATGGCACGTCCATCTGAAATAACCCATAAGGTTTAACCCATCAGTGTACAGCTACACTAACGCACAAAAGTATTTATCCCCTGTTAAATATATTACTTTGTTGTGAAAAGTAACAAGTAGACAGCAATCGTTTATTTACTATACTGATGGTATAATTGCGAAATTAATTAAGGTCCATCTTTAAAAAAATAATCATGGATCATGTGGGGTTGAAAGAAAAATATTTTAGAAGGATAGTGTATGTAATATAGGATTTAGTACTGGCTTGTAGAACGATTACGAGTATCCTCCTCTGTACAGCAAAGCTACGTTTTTTATCTTCTTTGCAGGGATTACTTCCGGGTCAGTAATCTTGCCTCGATTGTGTCCAATCCACAAGCTTACAGATTATTGGACACACTTGTCACGATGCGTGTAATCCGCACAGTATTTTCCTCACTCTTTCCCTGTTTTTCTCTGTTTCGTTTTTTTTTTCCTCGCTATGAAATCAATCCAAACAGGTGAAATTTACAGGGGCATAATATTTTTATTGGAAATCGCTCGGCTTCAACCGGAAATGTTTTTTTTTTGTTAAAAATACCATTCGCGTATGTAGGTTAAACTCGATATTCTTCGTGCGTCGAGAATTTATTGACGCGTGGAAGAAGTCTTCATTTAAAAACCAAAGTACTCGTCGAATCGCGGAAGTGGAAATCTCGAATGAGGGAACACGCGTTGGTACGCGTGTGCGATCGCGATGTTACCACGCGACAATTCGCGTTGCAAAAGTAATCGAACAATTTTTTTTCCTTTTTTTTTTTATCTTGCTTTCCCTTGGGATTACTTCCGGTTCAACGAGTCCCGCTCAGTCGGGTTCAATCTCCGTACTCTGTGTCAGATTACAGAGTACTCGCCGTAGTAACATCTATAGTAACACGTGTGTAGTATGTAAACTCGTGGTGTACGCGTGCGCATCCATGGACTAGGCGCCCATATGCATGGCAGCCAACTGCATACACCGATTGAAAAACTGCATACACCTGCATCGGTGTGCGCGCTCGATGCACATCAGGGGCGCGTCTTCCTTTCTTTCGATAGAGATTATAACGCATCTTCAAATCATTTCAATTCCATCGAATATTATTCTAAATTATCGTTTGCATACTATTTCAAGAGAATTAGTATAATTTCTGTAGCTTAAGATTAGGGATCAAAAAAAATTTATCAAATTGAACCATGGAAATTAGAAAAATTTTGATGAAAAATTTAAACTTCTTTTTTCGTATGGGTGCCGAGGGTAGAGTGAAACGTGGAACGTTGTGTACGAGGCTTAAGTAGCCCCTGCCACGAGTGGAGAAGTGGAGGGCGTCGTTTCACCGCTCAGACAACGGCATCCCTTCCATGATGTTCCCCAGTAGTAGAGGGGCGTCATTTCAGCTCTCAGCCAGGGGGTTGATGCGTACCAAAGAGCACCCCACCATCCGACTTTACTATGGAAGTGGAATAGGTCAGCCGGACGCTCTGAATCAACCTCGTAGTTACGATTATTCCTATACATCTTCAAACTTTCGATTCTTCTGTATACTTTTGTCCAAGGAGCGAACTCGTGGAATGTTTAATACAGAAAGTTGTATTTTAAAGTTACTTCTCCTCTGGATTCATAATGATGCATCTTTTATAGATTCGATCGATTGTATCAAAGTAGCACTATTGAATTACTTGTTCCACTAAGTAATTTGTCCAATTGTTCACACGCTACGGAATTAATTGAAAATGTAGTACTTTACTGTTATCTTCTTCTTGCAATCAGCACACCTTGACACAAATGAACTGAATACCTAGCATACTCAATGTAGAGTTCTGGAATTCAATGTCTCGTCATTCTATTGTCCATGATCTAGATTACACGTAAAATCATTACACGCGAGGCTATTTTTACTGTGCCAATTAACAATCTAGAAATGGATATTCTCTATCTATTAAATCATCAAAATTCTTAACATTCGTAGCAAATACCAGCGACGAGATATACGGAGTATTGCAATTAAAATTGCAATTGTAATCAGAGGCAACTGTGCAATCGAAGATAGAGGATCGCATGTGCACGTGGGTGACAGGGTACTTGGAGTAATTGGAGTCGGTAACCGGTGTACATTTAATGCGTGTACTTGTTGCTTGTCCGCCAGATGTGTGACTCCCAACGGAGCGTATATGGTGGTTTCAGGCGAGAAATAGACGACCACCACCCCTGAAGATCGTGGTTTGCCGTGTTACTAAATGTACATGACCAATTTCGGAGTCGGGCTAAAAGGACTTCTCGATATCTGTTATCAATTAACAATCCCATCTGTGGCTAACGCCACCATAAAACGTTATTAATTTCCGGTGAGAAAATGGCTGTCTAACTACCAATAAATAAATTCCAATTAACGTCTGATGAAATAGATAAAAAGTACTTTTCGCAAGAAATATTCGCCACCGTATTAACCGCTGGCTGATACAAAACGTTCAGTTTGTATTGTCACAACCCCCTCTTCCTGTACCCTTAATCTATCCGCAATCAAATGATCACCGGTCTCCCTACGGGGATCCCTTTCTCCTTTCATACTATTTTCTTATCGACTCGTTTGAGTGGAGGATAATCTGGAATTGCATCGTAGCTGCGCCTATCTTGTAGCGAAGTGAAACGAAAGCCGGAGTCAAAGAGCGCGGACGTATCAGGGAAACAATTTAACTAATGGAACGGTATTGCCTGTAGAAATCTATGAT